GTATCCAAAGCCCTACTAAAGAACGTAGTTCCACGCTCTGGACTTCCAAAGTCACTCCAGAGTGGCAATGGACCCTCATTTGTGCCTAGGGGAACTCAACAGGTAGCTACTGCTCTGGGAATTTATCTCCATGCCTCTTGGAGACCTCAGTCATTGAGTAAAGTTGAAAGGTTAAGAAAATTCCAACTAAGCTTTGCCAAGAGACCTCAGAAACATGGCTTAAACTATTGCCTATTGTCCTCCTCAGAGCAAGAATTGCACCTAAGCCTGCTGTAAACCTTAGTCCATTTGAGATGCTCTATGGGAGACCTTTCCTTACCTCTGACATCCCCTTTGATTCAGAGACTCAAGATCAGATAAAGTATATTCATTTAGGCCAGGTACAAAAGGCCCTGATGGAGTATAATACAATTTTCTCAGTGTCAGATTCCAAAATTCATTAACAAGCTATTGCCCCAGGAGACTTAGTTTTATTAAAGACGTGGAAGGACGGATCCCCCTTAGACCAATGGAAGACCCTACCAGATGCTGTTGAATATGTGTACCTCAGTAAAATTACCTGGCATCCCAAGCTTGGTATATATGTCAAGGATTAAACTTCTACCTCTTGAGTCTTTACAAGAACACATGGAAGATAAGTCTGCCTACTCTTGTGAACCAACAGAACTTAAATACCACTTCCAAAAGGCACAAAGATAAGTAAAATCTTTGCTTTCATCATATCAAAGCTGTTATATTTTAAGGCTGACATATTTTACCTGCTTCTTCTCTTGATTCTCTCTGGAAGTTGCTATTGGCAGGAAAACTCCTTAGTGAGCTCTTCCATTGCAATACTGGAAGATCCTGGTTACATCACATAAATCTATCTTTAAAAACCTGGCCATTACTTTGGGAAATCTATTTTACATCTCAGGCTAACTTTTACAACAAATACTGTAGTCATGGACTACAGTATAAGGTAGTCATGGACAACCAATAAGCCGTAGAATATATACTGATGGAGCAAGGAGGAGTATGTGTAGTTTTTTTTAAAAGATTTATTTATTTATTTATTTGAAATAAAAAATTACACAGAAAGAGGAGAGGCAGAGAGAGAAAGAGAGGTCTTCCGTCTGGTGGTTCAATCCCCAATTGGCCGCAACGGCCAGAGCTGCGCCCATCCAAAGCCAGGAGCCAGCAGCTTCCTCCATATCTCCCAGGCGGGTGCAGGGGCCCAAGGACTTGGGCCATCTTCTACAGCTTTCCCAGGCCATCGCAGAGAGCTGAATCGGAAGTGGAGCAGCTGGGATTCGAATCGGCACCCATATGGGATGCTGGCACTTCAGGGCAGAACATTAACCCACTGCGCTACAGCACTGGCCCCAGCATGTGCAATTTTTAATGGAATTTGTCACCTCTATTCTAATGGCAGTATGTTCACCGAGGAAAATGCATTAAAAATCTTTAGGTCAGGTTGGATGGTTTTATAATCTGCACAGGGACAATCTATAAGCACCCACTATTTGGAAAAGAATAAGATATATTTTGCCTTTCTTGAAGGGCATTCCACTTGCAATTTGTTTTTTTCCAATTTTGCTCATGCTGATTGATACACTTGTTTGTTTCAGAACTTGACAATTTCTCAAAGTAATGATTACCACTGGGGGACCACAGCCATTGGCAGTGACTGATGAAAATTCTCTGACTCATGAGACAGCGCCATTAGATGTGCTAGGAAGAGATTTCCAAACCTGAAACAAGCAGAGATCATGCCCCTGATCTGGAGCATCTCACTTCAGCACCCTCTTTAAGAATAAGGGTCAGAAATCTCTGAGAAGGGAAGATATAGCATAAGTTAGGTAGCTAGCTATGGCCATGAGCTGGAAGCCACGCCTCCCCTGCCTTATGTAATCCTACCCACCTACTTGCCAAATAGTCCCTTCCTCATGAAGGGGTTACCTGGGGTGGGTGCCACATAACCACTCCCTTTCCAACCTCGTAACAGAGGCTGGCAACTGGGAGGGGTTTGTTTCTCTCTCTCTCTCTCTCTCTCTCTCTCTGTAGATGAGGAAGAGACAGGGTACTGACACACACTCCACTCCTTTCCCTTCCTGGCCTACTCTATTCCAGAACTATGTACACAAGTGTGTTTTCCTCACCTTTTAAATAAACTCTATCTCTTTGTGTACTGTATTTGTGCCTGTACTCATAATGCTTCCCTGGGTAAAAACAAGGACCTGGAATAGGAATTTGGACTCCACCTCTCCCACAACAGGTTAGTCCAGGTTCTTGTCTTCTCAGGTGTAAGAATATGACTGGGCGGGCCTGCGCCGTGGCTCACTAGGCTAATCCTCTGCCTGTGGCGCCGCTACCCCAGGTTCTAGTCCCGGTTGGGGTGCCGGATTCTGTCCCGGTTGCTCCTCTTCCAGTCCAGCTCTCTGCTGTGGCCTGGGAGTGCAGTGGAGGATGGCCCAAGTCCTTGGGCCCTGCACCCACATGGGAGACCAGGAGGAAGCACCTGGCTCCTGGCTTCGGATCAGTGCAGCGTGCTGGCTGTAGCAACCATTTGGGGGTGAACTGACGGACGGCAGGAAGATCTTTCTCTCTGTCTCTCTCTCTCACTGTCTAACTCTGCCTGTCAAAAAAAAAAAAAAAATGGATGTGAGTAACGTTAGGAGGCAGAACTGCCACCACTGAGGCTGGGTCATTTTTACAGGAAAAAGAGTAGTACTCATGACAGGGGCTGATTGAAGATTCAAAGAAGGCAGAGTATAGGGTGGATATGCAGAACACACGGTGATCTCCAGGAAGGTGTCACAGTACCTGGTGCACGATGGGAAGTGATGCTCAGCAGCATGATGAGGAACGCAGGTGACAAACCTTGAGCCATGCTGAATCAGGTGATGGAACGTGGGCAGTGTACGTGGCTTGGGTGCTGGAAGTCCTTGGTTCCTTGGCCCTCAATGACTTTCTGTCTGGCCCACTTAGGGCTGGATTCTCTACAAGGACCTTCACAAGGCCAACGCCTAGCAGAGCTGCAGAGATGAGACTCTTGCCTGGAAAAACTGAAACACAGGCTTTGACCAACAAAACTATAGGGGCTGGGGCTGCCCGGTCAATGGAAGGCCAGCCTCCAACACAGTGTGTCCAGGAAGCAAGATATTGAACATAAAGTTTGCCCTGAAAATTTCTGGTCTTACTTTGTCCCAATTATCCTTTCTATTTTCTTACTTCTCCTATTTGAAATAGGGATGTATGCTCTTTGCCTGCCCCATCATTGTATCATGAAAACATGATTTTTTTCTTAATTTTAGATTCATGACTGGGAGGATTTTCCTTGAGTATCAGATGAATTTGGTGGAGTTAAGACTGTGAGGCTTTGGAGGATGGGGTTAATTGTATGTTGTATGTGACAAAGATTTATTTTGAGAAGTCAGGGGCAGAATGTTATGGGTACAGGGTGAAATTGTCTCATCAAAACTCATAAACTATTTAAGCTCTGATATCTTAATTTTCTTTTTTTAAAAAAAGTTTTTAAAATTTATTTGACAGGTAGAGTTATAGACAGTAAGAGAGAGAGAGTCAGAGAGAAAGGTCTTCCTTCCATTGGTTCACCCCCCAAATGACTGCTAAGGCCGGAACTATGCTGATCCGAAGCCAGGAGCCAGGAGCTTCTTCCTGGTCTCCCATGTGGGTGCAGGGGCCCAAGCACTTGGGCCATCCTCCACTGCCCTCCTGGGCCACAGCAGAGAGCTGGACTGGAAGAGGAGCAATCGGGACTAGAACCCGGCACCTATATGGGATGCCGGTGCCGCAGGTGGAGGATTAACCAAGTGAGCCATGGTGCTGGCCCCTGATTTCTTAATTTTCATGATTGATTTATTGATTAAAGGTGGAGGTTTGACCTAATTGAGGTAGCTAGGATAGTGTGGAGGTCTTAGGGTCACTGGGGAGGTACCTTTTGAGGTGATTCTTCAGAGGGGTTTGATTACTTGATTCTCTCTCCATTTCCTGATTTACCATATGATCTTGCTTCTATACCTATGATGACCATTTTTTTCTTTTAAACTAGAAACCTTTTAGTTAAGGTATACAAACTTCATACATTTCACATATAAAACTTTAGGAACATAGAGATTCTTACCACCGGACCTGCCCTCCCACCCGCATTCCATCTTTCTTCCTCTTCCCTCTCCTAGTCCCATTTTTATTTTTTACTTAGATCTATTTTTAATTAACTTTATACACATAAGATTAATCCTGCACTAATTAAGGAGTTCAACAAATAGTAGCAAAAAAATTTCCTCAGTAGTTAAGACAAGGGCTGTTCAAAGTCATTGCATCACAAAGTGTTAATTTCATTTCTGTAGATTACCTTTTAGGTACTTTATCACAGATCAGGAAGAATAAATGGTATTTATCTTCTTGGGACTGGATTATTTCACTAAGTATAATGTTTTCCAATTGCATCTATTTTGTTGCAAACAACAAGACTTTTTAAACCATTGTATAGTATTCCAAGGTGTACATATACCATAATTTCTTTATCCAGTTTTCAGTTGATGGACATCTGGGTTGATTACATATCTTAGCTATTGTGAATTGAGCTGCAATAAACATGGGGGTATGGATAACTTTTTTATATGCTGATTTTATTTTCTATGGGTAGATTCCCAGGAGTGGGATGGCTGTGTCATATGGTAGGTCTATATTCAGATTTCTGAGGATCTCTATACTGTCTTCCACAGTGGCTGTACCAGTTTACTTTCCCACCAACAGTGGATTAGGCATGACCAGGTTATATCAGACACCAGAGTAGGACCACCCAGTACTGTAACCTAAGCTGTGAGCTGAGATAAACATTTTCTTCCCCACAGCAGCTCATTTCTGGTACCTTAGAGTAACAAAATGTGGACTAATACAGTATATATTGAAAAATTTTGGAAAATACCAATTAACCATTAGTTAACTCCACTAAGGTATTAATGACAATTGGTTGATTGGAGGCTGTTTAAACATCCAGCATTTTATTGTCTTGACTGGCTAAACTTAATACTACTCATTTTCATCTGCAAAATCTCCTGAAAACTTAGTTATTGATCCCAAAAAATAGCTTTAAATGCTATACAAATTTTTGCCATACATCATAATATGAGAATATTCTCCTTTAATGATTTCCAAGGTCATGTATTTAATAAGAAAAAACAAGAGTTAGATTCTGTTTATTCAGTAAGATTTTGTCTTTCAGACCATATATTTTTTGTTCAAAAACTGTACGTATTCTTGTGATGCGTTCAAAAGTAGATCTTCAACTTGAGTAGGTTGTATCTGAGAAGACTGGTAGAATACAGATGCACATTCATCAGAACCTGGAAAGCAAAAGAAAGAATCCTAGTTTTTGTTTCAAAAACTTCTTAGGTATCAAAGTCTAAGTCAATGTAAATATTTGAGAATTTTCACTGTTAAGAATAAAAATGCACATATAAGAATATAGTGCACAATTATAATTTTCTCAAAATTGTATACTGAATTAAATATCACTGTGGGCCAAGTATCAGAGCTCTTGATATTCCCATTCTGCATTCATTTGTCCAACAACCATGTGCTAAGCACCAGAATTAAAGATGGAGGTGAAGTACTGTCCTCAATAATTTTATAAATGTAACCTGATGAAAATAATTTTCACCATGAAAGGAATATAACAGGGCACTATTGGAACACACAGAATTTCTGTTTATTCTGGTTTTGCCTCATTACTGTAAACTTTTTGGGGGGAGGTGACAGGCCAGCTGACACTTGAAAGACAAGGAAAAAGTATTCCAGTTAGAGGAGGAAGCAGAAGCATTTACGAAGCCTTAGAGGTGAAGAGACTTGAGGAACTGTAAGCAGTCTAGTGTGGCTAATGCTAGATCCACAAGGCAGAGCTGCAAGAGGACAGGCTGAGCAACTTGACAAGAACCAAAATGACTTAGAATTTTTAATTCCTGGCTTGGGAATTTGGAACTTTTCCTGAGGACAAAACTAACGGCAAAGAGAATGGAGATTTAGAATACTGTCTGTTAGCTAGCAGTGTAGGAACTGTCATTGATTCACCAAGTATTAGTAGACTATCTGGGACTTGGGGTCCTTACATCTCTACCTTAACCCTGAGGAGTTCATGATGCCTTTGTCTTTTGAGAAGAGTTCCAGTATGTGGGCTGACAGATCCATTGGGATGGCAGACTGAAGGAAGCATAAAGTCAGAAGACAAGACATACATAGACTTTTTGTGATTCCTAAAAGCTATTGATCATGTTGAATAAATAAAGAATACCCATTTTCATTATGAATGCTTTCACATATTTCATTAAGTGCATGTAAGTAACAATATTTACTGTAGAATGGATAAATCAAACAATGGAAAGTGATGCCATTTGTCATTAACAGTTTATTTCAGAATCTATAGAAATTTAATTGTCAAATTTTGGTAACATACCATTTTGTTTTTCTAGTTCCCTAGTGATACATTTGTCCAACTCCAGATGTATCTGTAATAAATAAAATTTCATCTATAAGGCTTAACTTTAAAAAGATACACTATCATGTGAATATATCACTTACAATGTATGGTCCTTAAAAAAACTTCCAAAGGCTAGACCTCACTTGAGGATTGCTTATATGGAGGCAATCATAATTAAAATTACTACTATTTAAGTTTATCATAGAGAAAATATTTGTGTCATGATGTTCAGCACAATTCATGTTAGTCTATTGAACATGCAATATTTCTTTATTTTTTTATTTTTATTTTTTATTTTTGACAGGGAGAGTGGACAGTGAGAGAGAGAGAGAAAGGTCTTCCTTTACCGTTGGTTCACCCTCCAATGGCTGCCGCGGCCGGCGCGCTGTGGCCGGCGCATCGCGCTGATCCGAAGCCAGGAGCCAGGTGCTTTTCCTGGTCTCCCATGGGGTGCAGGGCCCAAGCACTTGGGCCATCCTCCACTGCACTCCCGGACCATAGCAGAGAGCTGGCCTGGAAGAGGGGCAACCGGGACAGAATCCAGTGCCCCGACCGGGACTAGAACCTGGTGTGCCGGCGCTGCAAGGCAGAGGATTAGCCTGTTGAGCCACGGCGCCGGCCGCAATATTTCAAAAGGATGAAATTTAATATTGTGCAAAGGCTGGGAACTTCACATATTTTTTACTACATTAATTACTTTGTATTTCTTACAAAAACACTGTCCTTTATATGAGCTTTTTCTCTTTAACGTTCTTTTTAAAATATATTTCTTGCCTTCTCCATCTTCTTTAAAAAAAAAAAAAGATTTATTTTATTTATTTGAAAGACAGAGTTACAGAGAGAGAGGTAGAGACAGAGAGAGGTTTTCCATCCGCTGGTTCACTCCCCAGATGGCCGCAACGGCTGGAGTTGTGCTGATCCGAAGCCAGGAGCCAGGAGCTTCTTCCAGGTCTCCCACATGGGTGCAGGGGCCCAAGAACTCGGGCCATCTTCTACTGCTTTCCTATGCCATAGCAGAGAGCTGGATTGGAAGAGAAGCAGCTGGGACTAGAACTGGCACCCATATGGGACGCCAGCACTTCAGGCCAGGGCTTTAACCTGCTGCACCACAGTGCCAGCCCCAAGTGTTCTTTTTCTTAAAATGAACTTTCCATTCTCAATTTATAGAAAATTAATGTTTTCAGGTGTATTCTATGCAAATTTTTCAGCACAGAATCTTTTTTTTCTTTGAGAGAGTTATAGACAGTGAGAGGGCACCCACATGGGATGCCGGCGCCGCAGGCAGAGGATTAACCTACTGCGCCATTGCACCGGTCCCTCGGCACAGAATCTTAAGTACTAAGTAAAGAAAGTAATACTCTCATAACATAATGTGAAAATTCTACTAGTTAAAAAGTAAAACAATTATACTGGCAAAAGATTAAATAAAAATATCATGCTATTTCTATTATGACTAAATGGATATATTATGACATATGGACACAAATGTTAAGAAAATTTGCTTGAAAAAAAGTTAATGCATGTGAGACTTTTACTGAATTACAAATAAGTAAAACAATTTGTACTACTTGAATGATAAATTGAATGTTTTCAACAATTAAGAACAAACTGAAACAATTTACTAATTTTAGTAGCCTACCTCATTATAAAATGTGTTATATATATTATAAGATATTTTAAACTATGTAAATGTCCCTATTTAGAATAATGTTATTTAAATATTTCATCTAAAAGTGATTATCTCACTACAATGCCCAAACATGGTCTAAAATAGCACTATATTGAACACAATAAATACAGAAGCTGTCGCTCCCCCTCTTCGTGGAGGAACGACACAGGACCCTGCGCTGTTCTTTCGTCTGCTCGGCCCTCCCCGGGTTTGCTGCTGGTTCTTCCCGGGTTGGCTACTATCCCTTCCACCTCCGTGGAAGGGCAGTTCCCCCTGGCCACATTCCCCACTTCCGCAGGGGAGCGGCACACCGCCGGCCGGCTTTCTCGGGGGCTGCACGGGTTCCTTCAGATGTTCCCCTTAGATGTTCCCGGTGCATGCCGTCTCTCTCCTCCTTTATAGTCCTCCTCTGCCAATCCTAACTCGGCTGCCCACACGCCGAGTACGCTGCTCTCCTCCAATCAATAGCAAGTCCTACAGTTTATTAGTTGAACTGGAGGCAGCTGTGCGGAAGCTGTTTACTTCTCTCCCAGCGCCATATTGTGGGAGAGCAGATGCATAGAATAAGTCTTAATTCCAGTAACTCAGTCTAGTCCGGTTGCTCCCCACAGATCCCCCTTTCTTTTTATTTTTTGGCGTTGATACGTGCCTGTCTTCGGTGTCCCGCGGCACACACTCTGCTCTACTTGCTAGAGTTGCCACAGGCTCTTACAAGTCCTATCAATCAGGCAAACCGAATCCGGGTCCTCTCTTCGCCATGTTGTGAGGAGGTTTTTAGGCGCTGATGCGTGCCTGTGTTCGGTGCCCTGCAGCGCATGCTCTGGTCGAGCCTGCAGGGGCTTACAAGCCCTATCAGGCAAACCGAATCCAAGCCTTCTCATTGCCTTTTTGTGGGGAGGCCTTACTGATGTTAATTCGTGCCTGTCTTCGGTGACCTGCGGCGCATAAGCTGCTAGCCGCCGCAGGTGCTCATCGTGCTCATCGCCTCACTTAATCAGGCAGACCGAATCCAAGCTCTCACATTGCAGTGTTGTAGGGAGGCCTTTCTATTTCTCTATTTCTCTATCTCCGGGCATTCCTATTTCTCCCATTTTACTTCTATCTTCCAGCATTCCTATTTCTCTCACTTTGCTTTTAAACTTCTATTTCTCTTATCCCTGCAGCTTCCCGGTGCCCGCCCCGAGGCTACTTCTCAGCGGCTTCCCGGCTGAGCCGCTTCAGCCCGCGCCTCTTTCATCTGCGCAGCTTCCCGGCTTTGCGCGGCTTGGCTTCGCGCGCTCCGCGGTCTCCACGCCCTTCGCGTCTGCACCACGGCCTCGCGCCAGCCCCGTTCCCTATCTATTCACGCCCCGTGCTCTCTCTGCACGCGGCGGCTTCCGCGAGTAACACAGAGTAGCTTACGTGTCCGCCACTAGCATTCAATCTAAGTTCCCCGGGCTAGCCTGGCGAATTCAACCCAGCATACGTCTCCGCCCCACGGTTTGGCTTCCCGTCCTTTGCTCCCCGGGCTAATCAGACGGATCCCAACCAGGCTCACGTTTCAGCTTCTGGTTTCAACTTTTCGCCCCCTATTCCCGGGCTAACTTGAGAATCCCAAAGTGGCTTTCGTGTCCGCCTTGGCCTGCCCCCCGCGGCTTCAATTTCCCTAACATTTTTCTCTACCCGGTATGTTTCCCCAAGCTTTCCTCCAACAATACTCCTCCCTCATTTCTCCTGGCCTCTCCCCACAGTCCGCATCCGAGTCTGTTTGTTCTAGCTTTCACTTTCGCTTTCGACCTTAGAGATTTCTCCCAGCTTCCCCCCATAGTCCGTATCTGAATCTATGCCTAGGCTTTCAATAGCTTCTTCCGGCACCCTTTTCGTCCGGCTTTTCCCTAGGCTGTTTGCTAGTCTCTCTCTCCGGTATTTTCCCAGTTCTTCCCGTTTCTTCCCTCCTAAGTTTCCTATCCGTCCTAGGTTTCCTATCCGAGTCACGGCACCATTATGTCGCTCCCCCTCTTCGCGGAGGAACGACACTAAGCCCTGCCTAGGCTTCATATCCGAGTCACGGCACCATTTTGTCGCTCCCCCTCTTCGTGGAGGAACGACACAGGACCCTGCGCTGTTCTTTCGTCTGCTCGGCCCTCCCCGGGTTTGCTGCTGGTTCTTCCCGGGTTGGCTACTATCCCTTCCACCTCCGTGGAAGGGCAGTTCCCCCTGGCCACATTCCCCACCTCCGCAGGGGAGCGGCACACCGCCGGCCGGCTTTCTCGGGGGCTGCACGGGTTCCTTCAGATGTTCCCCTTAGATGTTCCCGGTGCATGCTGTCTCTCTCCTCCTTTATAGTCCTCCTCCGCCAATCCTAACTCGGCTGCCCACATGCCGAGTACGCTGCTCTCCTCCAATCAATAGCAAGTCCTACAGTTTATTAGTTGAACTGGAGGCAGCTGTGCGGAAGCTGTTTACTTCTCTCCCAGCGCCATATTGTGGGAGAGCAGATGCATAGAATAAGTCTTAATTCCAGTAACTCAGTCTAGTCCGGTTGCTCCCCACAGAAGCTAATACCTTTACAAATTTTTGGTGTGATGATAATTTTTTGACTAACACGTTTGGCAATATTTTGAAAGACTATTTTCAACAATATTTCCGTGAAAATTGCATTATGGAAAAGCATTTTAAGATTAAAACAATGTGGCAACAACACTGCCAGTCAGGTCTTCTAGATGTAATAGGTCAGTACAGATGAAGGGAGAAGTCTTCCCTGGAGCAATCTCACATTGTCGTGAATAGACTATTCAAACTTAAGTCACATTTTACATGACATGAAGTAAGGAAATGCCGTGTAAGGTCATCTTCCTCCCCCAAAAAATCCCCTAAATGTTTATTTCCTAGTTATAAATTATTTGGTTTGTCTTCATACAAGACTCACAAATGCTTTCATAATACACAAATATTACTTTGGTAAAAATAAAATATACTTCTTGGCAGAATGCATACCTCTGTTCAGAATAATACTTATGTCTCTAGTTAAGAGTATACTTTGTGAACAAATTTAAGTAGGGTCATTTTTTACATAACTTTTACATTAGAAATATATGGTAGATGTAGTTGCCTCTTGTCAAGCCCTGTAATGGCCTCTCCTACAAAACCTTCCCTCCAGCCTTTCTCTCACCTTTGAATTCTCCAGCCCTTCTCTAATCTTGGAATTCTTTGAAACTTTATTGAAGAGAAATGCCTTTGAGAAAGACACACCAGGTAAGATTTAAATGTTCAGGGGCTAAAAGGACAGACCCAAAACACTGGGTGAGAGCTACTCTGGAAAGGGCAGGAGCTAGGTAAAGGGGCCTTGAGTACTGAAGGCTGTGGTTTTCTCTCAGCTG